TGTTATCTTGCCAGAAAAATATTGAATCAAATTAAACAATATGTGAAGGTATACAATGTACATGTAATGTAAGATTTAACTGACTATTTAATTTAATTAATGTATCTAATCTTAGCCTGGTGTTACAACAGACGAATTGGATGCAATAACACATGAAATGATCATAAGTAATGGATCTTATCCTAGTCCCCTTAATTATCGTGGATTTCCAAAATCAATATGTACAAGCATCAATAATGTAGCGTGTCATGGTATACCAGATACTAGACCATTACAAAATGGAGATACTTTAAATATTGATGTAACAGTGAGTAAAAATATGAATCTAATATATATAGAAATATTTATAAGAATTAGAGTACTTGTAGGTATTTTTGAATGGGTATCATGGAGACTGTTCTCGAATGTTTGAAGTGGGAGAATGTGACAATGAAGCTAAACGATTAATAAATATCACAGAATTATGTTTACAAACAGCCATTAATATATGTAAACCAAATGAAAACTTTTCTAGTATAGGTAATTATCAGAGTTAATATAATTCAACTGTGTATTTTGGGTATCATCGAGGTATTTAAAAGGATATTAATTTATTTTCTTTTTGTTTTTAGGATATATTATTGAAGAGATGGCAAACAAGAATGGCTACACTGTAGTACCAGCATTTGCAGGTCATGGTATTGGTACTTATTTTCATGGACCACCTGATATCTACCACTTTGGTATGTTAAAAATGCTTAATTATTTTCTATTAAGTAATTGTATATTTTTCTACTATTAGCGAACGATTATCCTGGGAAAATGTCACCAGGAATGACATTTACTATTGAACCACTTCTAAGTCAAGGTTCCAAGGAAATTCTAATTTTAGAAGATGGGTGGACAGCAATCACCACCGATAATTCGCGTACTGCCCAAACTGAACACACTATATTAATTACTGATACTGGCTGTGATGTGTTAACTCGATAGTTACATAAAGGTATTGTCTCCACATACATATTTCAATTTATGTACAAAGTTATTATTGTTAGTTGTAATAAATTATTGTTACGTACTTCATTAAGTAATTCTTTCAACAAGTTTATTTTTTAAGTAAATGTATTTTTATTAAGAAAAAATTGATGATATTTATTGTTACATAATAGCTGGTTCCCAATAGCTGTCTAATGATATTGGTCCTTTTATTTCAATGCCTCCTTCTTTTGTGATTATACCAAGTTGATACTGAAAATAAAAACATCGAATTAGTTTTGTTTTCCTAGTCTACAACAATATGTTGTAATATGTAACTTACTTTTGGGAAAGATCGTGCATCTCTGTAGAAAAGAACCTGCATCACTTTGTACAACAATTCCATTGCCTGTTCTTTAGACATTTCCTTATTTTCTTCATAAGCTTTCCTTAGGATCGGCGTTGCCATATATGCACCATATCCAGTTGCAATTACTGGGTCACTATAAGCTGTACCAAGCTTGTCCACAGTGCCCAAAAATCTATAGAAAGAATTTAAATAACTGTAACATGTACATTTCTAAAATGAAAAGAGAAATGAAATACCTACGGTTTATCGCCTTCTATGCCTCCAATAACAAAGTTATTCCACAGAGGATCAAAACTAGATCTTCGATAATACATTACACGAGTCAACCAACAATGTAGAGCTTTTGGTTTCAATGATAATCCATCATCCAGACATTCTTCCTCGAGACTGTAAAACATATTTACAATAATAATTTATATTAGAATACCTTTGATGGATAGTTGCTACTGTTGATACATACATTTTCTTTTCGATATTACTCTTGAGAAACTGATAATCGGCATAGTCGCCTCCTGCACCAAGAATTATGTTATTGTTAACTTTCATGATGCGATCAAGGCTCCTGTATCTAGCCAAAGATCCGTATGATCCAAGAACGTCTGCTGCTATTAAAACACCATCTTTGAATTGAATTCCAACTACAGACGTGCCAGTTGTCATTGGAGCTCTGCAGAAAGATTAAAATCAACACCATTATAAGTAGAAGCAGAATTCATCGGTTTTATTCGATTGAGGTTAGAGTTATATTGAACGATTAAATATACAATTATTATGTAAAAAAATATCTAATATTTCGTACTGAACCAGTAGTAATCGGATCTGCGTAGCCACCGAACTTATATTTGTTTGAAAATCACTATTATTACATTTTCATAAAGAATGACATGCAATTTTCTTAGAGAGCCCATTTCTCGCAGGTGAATATATAATGTGAGACTTTACTGTGATCTTTGAAATCCTCCAACATCAGATTGCGAGGAACCTCCAGGAAAATGGTAAAATGCACCTGGTGTCGGTCCATTGTGCCACAACGGTGCAGGAGTATACCAATCGCCTTTATTGAACAGCGCCATGTTTCTTGATGTTTGAAACAGTTTGAAATGTCATTCAATCGAAACGCGAGATATATCGAGTTCCTTCGTCAATATCGATCTTTCGATTCTCGACTCTCGAATGAATGTTTCGATAACTCGATGATTGAGACGTAGAAATATTCAAATACGAATTATGTACTTACAAGTAATCTAGACAACTCTATCGAATTTAAACATGTTTATATATATCGTTCAATTTCAGATTTGATTTAGATTTGATTAGCGAATTGCTAAGCTTTTCTAGATGACAAGAAGCTTGAAGAAATAAATGCAACAGCTTCTTTTGAATAAGTGGATATGGATGTTACTATATCATAGCACTTCTAAATTATGTATAATTAACCAAAAACGCATGTTAAATAGAGAATTTCAATTCTGTTTTGATTAGAAACTAATACTTAATAGCTAAAATGAATACTTTTAATCGGTGATAGACAATCAATGATGAATAATTATAATCGAAATTGGTCAATTATTTTTCTTTATTATCTGAATACTTTATAGATCGCCGTACGGGCTGCCGCATCTAACATTGTAAAATTGATCGCAAACTTGAAATTGTTGATTAAAGAGAGTCCCGTTCACGCATAAATGGCTGGAGATCAAGTTTCCATCCTGGCATAGATGGTATCCCTGACAAATAAATTATATTTGTCATATTTCTAGTATTTCTTTATATTTACACAATTATATTATTACATTCACTTGAGTTTCAGGTCATTCTTACCTGGCACTGTGAACTGAGATCTGCCCACAACTGGTTCTCCAAACCATAACAAGAAAATCCGGTACGAGGTACCCTATAGTACGTCGGATAAAGTGGTGGATTATGGGGTAAGTGTAAATTATGATATGGATCGTACGGTGTTCCATCCTCATTGTAATAATGGCCAGCGAAGACTGCCATCGACAGAACTAAACAATTCAAATAAAGTCCACGAAAGAATGATTCAATTTCAGAAAACTATGGTAATGATGAGACACTGCATGATTAGACAAAGAATTATTTAAAATTATTATAAATTATTCAAACGACTAAATTTTACCGAGTGCATTATCCAAGAAATATTGAAATTCGGTTCATTCATGAATGAAATTTGCTATGAAACGGTTTTAGATTACAAACTTCGCAATGTTGTAATACATAGAAATAATAGTTTCATATTTTCAATTATATGGGTGGGCAGAGAGAGAGAGAGAGAGAGAGAGAGAGAGAGAGAGAGAGAGAGAGAGAGAGAGAGAGAGAGA